TTTTTCAGTTATCCTGGATTTCTTAATCTTGCTTTTACTTGCTTAAATACTGTGAAAGTATCAAAATGCTCAATCCCCGGAGAAATGCACACACCTCGTGTTTTAGTCTTTAAACAAGCCACCAGGACCTGCGTAAGTTTGTGATGTCACGACTATACAGTCACCGCCCTCATGAAATGAATGTGCAGTGCAAGCTACATAACATTATACGTGTGTATCATAGAACAACCAGTCTGAAGGCTGACTAAACTCTCATCATCACCTCATTTGCTAACATTAGCAGCATTAGCCAGCTCATAATAAAAAATGGTGTCTGGAGAAATGCTCCCGTTGAACTTTGTGGAAGGAGGAGGCTTCTGGGAGGTGATGCTGTTTGTCGAGCCACAGTACAAGAAACAATCCAGGTGAACAACAACTACAGAGTGGAAGAGATGTATGAGGACAGAGTGGCTGATGGGTAAAGTGCAGAACTGTTCAGCTATATGCCTATGGCTTTGGCCCTTTTTTAGGTGGCTGAACTACATTGCTGACCTCACCCACAGCTGTACATTGCTTAGCTTCTGTGCAGATACGATAGTACGAGACGTTTTCTATTGTTTGAAAATGTACATGCACCACTCAGTTTCTTTACAAATGTATTTAAATGTCTTGTAAACCCATGCAGGCTGGGCACAGATGAATGACACAGTAATAAAAATGTCATTCATTCATTCATTCAGCAGGACCTAGAAAGTGAAGCAGCTAAATGGAATGTATGTGTGAATGTATTGTGTACGTGAACAGAGCAGAGCCATCGGTAATGTTATTAATAACAGCTGTGCTTTTCCTACTGCGACGCCTCAACGTGTCTTCCAGTAAAAAAGGCCTTTAAAAGAGCCCTCACACACTGATGCAGGTGTTTTCACTTATGTCGGCTGATTAGACCTTCACTCAGGACTGTGTGGCAGGACACAGACTGAGGTTGATTGACACCTTAGTGCTCAATTCTGACTTACTGCTCACATCACTTTTTTCTTTTGGCTGTTCATGTGATTTAAATGTGGCCCATATCAGATTCCAGTATGAACAGGTCACAGTCCCGAAGTGGCCTTCATGACGAATGTCGATCTAGAGTGACACATGCCATATAAATTCTTATATGACAGGTCAGACCTGGATCTGATTTGGACCACATATGAAAGTAGCCAGAATCAGGATGGAAAGGATCGGATTCCATGTGATTTGTGCTGTTCCCACTGCTAGGAAAATGTGTGTGAGGATCCTACCTGCCCCACAGGGGGAGATACGTCCCTGTCCGGCCTGGTGTCGGAGCTCAGTCTGACCCTGGCTGAAGGGGAACTCCAGGCTGGACTGGAGCAACACAGGTGGGCACACAGAGAACCCAGCAGGGAGGTCCGATACACAGGAGCACCTGAGGAGCACGAGAGGAGCACAGGAGAGTCTGCTGATTCCCTCACACTGGAGGGAAAATACTTCCAAAATACGTTTAACACTGTTGATGTTATTCAACACTAACCAGTAACAGTTTTAGATAGATGTGCTGTTATTTTAATAAAGATGGTGCTGTTTGCAGCGGGATGATAGGAGGCTCTAAAGCTGCATAGGGATAATCATAATCATCTATAGTTGTAATATTACTTTTTTATATTTTCCACTGTATTCACATCGTCTAAGATGAAAAGATGAATACAGTTTTGGTTTTTAGTCACTCTCTTCACCATATCTTTGTACAATACATGCACTTCTTCACAATAAAATGTCCCCAGCAGCACACAGAGAGTTTACTTAGTTATTTATGCATCACACATTCTGATGAAGAGCCCACACAACCCTCTCTCATAGAGGATAACTGACTTTGCAGAACAAGAGAAGCACAGGCATGACGACATTAATGCTGGGTCTGTTTCAGAAGCATTATCAGCGAGCCATTGTGCATAATACAGCGGTGTAATTGCATCATTAGGCTCATTGTTTTGGCTTTCCAATCACCAAATCTCCTGCCACTGTTTGAGCTAAAAACAATCCAGCACCAAACAGCAAACAAAGTTATTGACTAGCTGTGGAAGAACGTTGAACTTTCAGCAGCTAAAGAGCCTGACGTTTTACTCAGGAGTTGGCGGAGACCAGAACAGAGGTCTAAAGTGGCTTCTGGATAAGCAGCTGTTTGCCAGTGCGTTCACCAGAACAACCTTGCACAGTCAAAATGTTGTTGTTGTTCCACAGTACCAACGTGGTAAAAACATCTATCAAGGCAACTTTAAACACAGACTCTTGAGAGAATATTGTTTCATGGGGCTCAGACCTTGTAGCTACACCTCTGGCAGGCTTTGTGCAGGTTTCGACAGGTTCAATTTAAGACTTTTGTAGACTATTATAAAAGTAATTTAAGAGCTATTTTATGTCCAAACTGGCAAAAAAGTACAAAGAATATGAAGGAAAGTCAGTGGTTCATTCTGTAGTTTTCACAGCATGATCAATACAACACATTTAAAGGTGAGACTGAAAAAGCAACTTAAGTACCGCTAACATCTTTCTGAAGAAAGGCCTAAGATTTGAGGCTTTTTAAGACCCTCGGGACACCCTGCCTGGTGGTTAAAAAGACTTCTGACTACTGTTTTTTATGTTTAACTAACAAGATTCAGCATTACTCCTCACCTTGTGACCAGAGCTCTGTGCATAACTTCTTGGCTATATGGACACTTCCCCACCACCACCGTGCTGAAGTAGAGCGCCTCCTGTAGGTAGTGGGACAGCAGTGCACCCTGGAAGCCCAGCACCCCCCAGCGGGCCAGCTTATCACTGCAGGAGAGGGACAGAGTCGGCTCTCCTCGCCCAGGCTTGACCCGGAGCAGCCCCGTGCTGTGGTACCCCACCCCGGGGTGCAGAGGGTCAGCCAGGCCACCCGGGACACACTTGGCCCCCGTTCTGTGAATGTCTGGGATCTGTGGATGCGGTCCAGGACTATCAGAGGAGGCGGTTTCCACACTCTGTGACGGAGCTTCGGTTTTAGATGAATCTGACAGGAAGGATTGTTTCAGTTCTCCTCTGTCCTCGAGCTGTGTCTCTGCTGTCTCCTGTTCCTCCAGACGGGGCAGTTTAGTGTTTTTCCCGTCACTTGGTTCCTCTGCTTTCCTTTTCAGGTTTCCTCCTCCATTAGTCCCTTTATGGGCCTTTACAGATGTGACAGGAGGGCAGGGCTGAGACTGGCTGTCAGTCATGGGGATGATGGAGGCGTCACCACCTGGTAACACACAAGTTTTAGACTGTTTTTGTCTTCCTGGACAAAGCACTGGCCTGTGGACAGAGCTGAGCTTCACAAACAGAATATATGCTTTAAATAAATGTGAGTACAGGACACAATATATAGCTCTACACCCTGAGGCTCATCTCACACAACCTGCTGGTGGTCATATTAAACTAATTCTGTGACACAGACAGTTAGGTACACTGGGAGCATGCTGGACTCACAGGGAGTGTGACTGGTAAAGAAGAGGAAGGAAACACCCGGCCGAAGCTTCCATTTCCCCCGCTGATCTGCCGGACAAAACACCGAGCTGTCCCCACCACTCACTGCCGTGTGCAGCTCCTGGATCAGGTACCTACAAATTCACAAAGTGGCTTACACTCATACTGAAGGCTCAGCACGGAGCACCAGTGCCAACAAGCTACTATGAACACATGGAACTGAATACAAACACACACCTGACACATCCCCTTTTGGCAATGACTTCTGCGTGGCTGTCATTAAGCATATCCCCTAAAATGGATGAAAGAATCAAATCAAACGTATTGATATAAAGGTTGACAGACAGTGTTTTAAGTAACTTTCACTTTTACAGGCTGTCATGGATGGAACTTTCATCTGCAGAAGATATTTTTCCAATATGACACATAATTCAATCCATGTTTAAATCTGAGCCTCACACAGACTATTGGATCACCAACATTACAGAGACACTGAGTATTTAGAAGACCACACACCATTGGGACTCATAGCTGTGCTTCCAATGCATTTGGTCCCAGTTCCTAGGGAAACAACCTCCTTTTCAACTGTGAAGGAAGAAAAAACACATCTCTTTAGAACATCATTTATCACTTATATTCTTCTTCAACACATTTTCATATCTTATTTTATGGTTGTTGGTTTGCCAACCTGGGGGTCCACTAAGGGTCACCACAGCTTGAGGAGTGCGAGAAAACCTTTTTAAATATAATATATATATATATATATATATTCATTTTGGTGAAGAAAACTAAATTAAATTGTTATTTTTGAAGTTTGGATTATTATTTAAGAAACCTGGGGGTCGGGACCCCCACTAGGGGTCGCCAAAGCATGGCCTTCTTGATTTTAAGGTGTAAGAAAATTTTAAAACATACAGGCCTATATCTCAGCATATTTTTTAACTGTGAAGAAATGTAAAATAAATGTTCTAATAGAACAATGGCCAAACGTCAGTGACAAGAAAACTGAATTTGTCCAAAAAGAAGCCTAATAAGTCTGTATTGGGTTTATTGTAAGTTACAGTTTAAATATAATATGAAATATCCATAAAATATGCCACTGAGTCAGTGGTCAGTATAGAAAATGAAGTTTCTCCTTTAGGTTACTTTTACTTACCAGCTAACAGATAACTACGTTAGAGTTAACTTAGCTGAAAGTTAACTCGCTGTTATATTAAATACGGGGCTCGACACTAACATTTTTCAAAAAGCTGGTTTCTTTCCTGCGATAGGACATTGTTGACATGCAGACAACATTACAATACGTTGTAGCATCGTTATTTCGGCTGTCCAACCTGTGTCAGAGTCAGCACACCGGATGCTTTTCACGACAGCGGCCAGCAGGGTCCACTCTCTGCCCGGCTCAGGCTTCCCTCTCCGGGGAAGTTTGTTGAAACGGTCGTAGCACAACCTGGCGATTTCATCCGCGTTCACCATGTTAAACCGGGCAGGGACGTGTGAGTGGAGACTGACGGGCATTACAAATATTATTTAAGCTAACGGTAAATATATATATTACAGTTACGGTGTCACATAAACAATAAATGAACAATACTTTGGTTAGCTAGTCTCCTGCACCTCTGCTCGGAGGTATCTCGAGAAAACGAAGAAGTTACTTCCGGGCTGAGCCAAGGAATGCCTTCCTTTCACAATAAAGGTCCTTAATGTATAGAAAGCTGAAATAATTTATTACTTATTCAATATTTACTATACTACTAATTGTAGCTTTTTAGTAGGTATTACATTAGTTTAATTGATTATGGAAGAAGTAGAATAAAAAAGATTGTCATCATTCATCAATCATTGTCATTGGCCCATCTACCAGTTCATTAAAACATTTGAAATACACTACAGTGACTGCACTGCAAGTGTACTTCAAATAATAAAATACCATTCACACATTTAAGAAAACACCTTAAGAAAGCAAGACAAATACAGATTAAAACGGCATTAAAAATACTTTATACTGTATCCTTTTGCATTTGAAACTTCAGTAGGTGTTACTCATTCTGGTGAAGAATGGCTCCCTCAGTGTAATATTTGTTATATTATTATTAATGTGTTATAATTACTTTATTAATGAGTCAAAATCCAAAATAATTGTATATACTATTGGTTAATTTAATGACATCATATTAGCTTATCTTATATTTTATTTATTTAAAACCTTAATAATAACTAACTGTCTAATATATGAAAATATTGTGAATTATGAAGCAGAATAAAATTATTCAAATACAGTGCAAGGAAGTCATTCGTTAGCATGATACTGGAGTAAATGTGTATTCTCCACACATTTGGTATTTGTACAATGTGTGGTTGTCGTGGTAGTTGTTTATTATTAATTATTAAAGTTGTTTGGTTAATGGATGACACACAGCAAAGGGCCACAGGTCAGATTCAAACTTATGGCCGCTGCAGCAAGGACTCAGCCTCGGTACATGGGGCGAGGTGAGGAGCCTGTACAGAGCCCAGAGGATACTAGGAGACAGCACCCACCCAGCCACAGCCTGCTGCATTCTTGGAAGAGGTACAGAAGCTTTCAGTGCTGTACCTCCAGACTTATAGACAGCGTCTTCCCTCTGACTATTAAATTCATCCTCAGCACTTCATAATGAAAAAGAGTATTTTTTTATATGACTTATTAATCAGTTTTTATTTGGTTTTACCAGTAGCACCAAGGTGAATAGAACTATAATCACAATTACATTATACAACCCTGTGTTGTAAATGACAATGAAATATCCCTGAATCCTTATTGTGGTTTATATAAACTCTGTATATGTCATGTCAAACAGTCAAACAGCTCAAGATTGAAATCTCATTTATTTTAGTTATGTACAGGAGGAAAATGCTGAATTTCACAAGTAACAGAAAAATAAAAAATAAAATCACATCTCTCTAGCCTCTGTAACAGAGGTGCACTAGTTCATGATAACAGCTCTCTGTCTCTCGTATACAGACGCACACATGCACTCACACGCTGCCTCTCTCTCTCTCTCT